AGAGTTTTAGAATGTTTGAAGCAGTGTGTATGATTGTCAACAATCTGGCATTATCTAAATATTAACTGTTGACGAAACGAAGCAGATAAAGAGCTCTTTAATTCAACCTCGTTTTATTGTAAGTGAATTCAACAAGGCATGCTGTGTCTTTGAAGCAACAAAGGCAAAATAATTTGTTACAGGTTTTTTTTTTTTTTTTGGAGGGAGACAAAATAAACTTTGCTAAAAAGAGATCCAGCGCAAGAAAGAGGCAAAGAAAAACGCATGTTCTTAATTTATGTCGTTTTGTACTGTTTTAATTGTTTAATTAAGCTGCAATTTCTTTGGCAATACAAATTTAAAATGTTGCAAGAATAAGATTCTGTGTTTCTTATTTTGCATCGCAAAGGAAATAAACTCTAAACTCAATGCAACCAGCTGTTAAACAAATAAACTGTCCCACTTTATTTAAACCTTAAAAATGTGCGATGGGGTTTCAAACTTAATTAATTTTAGTGTTCTTTTACATTTTCATTTGTTTTTATATTGAAAGCAATACTAGTCTGTTATTTTGTGTAGCCAAGTCAACAAAATCAATCTTTTCTGATTTGTTCAATTTATGGATCTGTTTTGAAAAATTTCTTCCGTTGCTATGGCGGGTATCACTGTCTATCACCTCAATTTCGTGAATGATTCACAAAACAATAATTTAGCAGATTAAAGACAAGCTTCGTTATTTTCATTTTCTGACGCGATCAGCTAATCTTCCCTCATCAGTTTTGTCGTGCAGCGGCTCTACTGGAATGTAGCAAATTTATGTTGTAATGTGCCATTGATAATTTAAACAAAACTCTTGACTTTACATAAGTAAACAGTTAATGAACTCGCTAACAAAACAGTTACCTATTTAAGCATCAAGAACGGTAAAATATAAACGAATTCGGCCAACAGCAAATTGGCTCCACTAAGATTCGATCTCAGATCGTTTGAAGCGTAGTGAGGCTCATGTTATTGCGTTAACCGCTGAGCTATCGTCAGAACGCTGTTAATTATTGTCTTATGCACTTCTAAACCCTCATTGATAGCCTAATATGTTTCGGTTGCAATGTTTTATGTTGAAATGTTTTCACTATTTATTCAATTTAATTTCAGTAGGTCTATTGTGATTATGAATTCGTTTAACTACAAGTTTCACTTGAAATCATCTGTTACCAGCTTTCAATCGCTCTCAATGAGCAGCGGTACTGCGGCAGATTACGCAATAGAGAGAATAAACTGACACTTTTCAAAGTCTGTAATTGTAGCGCCTCTTAGCGGTAAAAGGCAACAAATACACACCAGAATTTTACCGCCGCGGTAGCGGCGGCGGTAAAAGTATTATTCTGGTTGAGTACCCACTGTACGTGGACAGAACTCAAAGCATCAGGACCTCAGACCAGCTCTTTGTCTGTTACGGAGGCCAGCAGAGGGGAAAGGCTGTCTCCAAGCAGAGGATGGCCCACTGGATAGTGGATGCCATCGCCTTGGCTTACCAAGCACAAGGCGTGCCCTGCCCGCTCAGGTTGCATGCACACTCCACGAGAGGCGTTGCATCCTCCTGGGCGCTGGCACGTGGCTCCTCGCTAACAGATATCTGTAGAGCTGCGGGCTGGGCGACACCTAACACGTTCGCTAGATATTATAGCCTACGTGTAGAGCCGGTCTCCTCCCGTGTTCTCACCCTAAACGGGTAGAAGCACCGAGAGGCCCGGCTCTGTCGGCTTGCTGCACCCTACTGTGCACCCTTATTGCTCCAGAGTGAAAAACCTGTCGAGTCCTCCAAAACCCCTCGGCCCAGGACATGGCGGAGCGTCCGGTGCCAGGCCTTTATCCGCTGAATCCCTGAGAGCCGGATCTGGGCTGGGTTCCATATGTGTGACCCTACGGGGATCCCATATGTGTATATTCTCCACGGCTGCTCCTAAGTCGGAAGCCCGTGTCTTTCCCTTGGGCTAAGTTCCCTTTATTCATATGCAGTACAACCTTCGGGTTAGTCCATATGTATTTCCACATAACTCTTTGAAGAAGTGGCTTCCGCAGCGTTCTCCTTCCTAAATAGAAAGGGCACGCTTTCCCAGTGTTATCCAATAATCTCACTGTATGGGTTATTACGGAACAACAGTGACAGATACACTCTATGTAAAGCCTCCTCCTATCGTCCTTCCAGGCAAGAAGGTGTAGAGGCTTGCACGGGGCGCTGGATGGGGTGCAGCAGCTGTGGCGCTTTGGTAGGGATTCCTATTGGTCAGTCTGACCTACGTTGTAGTGACTGACCGATAGGGAACGTCTCGGTTACATATGGTAACCCTCGTTCCCTGAGGGAGGGAACGGAGACGTAGGTCCCGTCGCCACATCTGCTGCCGCCCGCCGGGGGCGGCCAGCTTTTTCAGGTTTGGCTCCTCAGCAAAAAACTAGTGTGCAATCACAACAGCTGCTCGTTAAATACCCGCGCTGCGGGGCTGCACAGCTGATGCAAATGATTGCACGCCAATGTGCATTGGCTTGTTTTAGTTTCACTCGAAGTAGATTGGCCTCTCTAGCGAGATTCCTATTGGTCAGTCTGACCTACGTCTCCGTTCCCTCCCTCAGGGAACGAGGGTTGCCATATGTAACCGAGACGTTATTGATTGTACATAACCCTGAAACTATTTTTTTTTTCACAACACCATGCGACCAGCATTTTTTATTTTAATAGTTTATCTACAATAACCTATCATCAAGGAGTATATTGATTAGGTATGTTGCATTATATTGATTTGCTATATCAACTATGTTGGTATATATTCAAATTTGTGGTTAACTGGTCAAGAAAACCAGATGGTTGGCCATACAAGACCTACTGTTGAAACATCAAAATGGTTAAATTGTCAACTATATTACCCTGCTGAGCCAACTCCTGGATGACATAGTTGTCATGGCCATAAACTGTGTAACTGTGTCCTCTGAGGATAATTAATTATTTGCAATAGATTAGTTTTTATTTTAACCTTCAGAGACTGTGTACTGTATGTGGTTCAGTTATACCCTACATTATGGGGACAAAATGTCCCCACAAAGATTGCAATATGATGAATAAGATTGCGATAAGCTTATAAACCATACAAAATTGTGGGGGGTTTTTATGTAAAAATGCAGATAGTTTTCTGTGATGGGAAGGTTTAGGGGATAGAATGTTCAGTATAACAATCATGTCTATGAAATGTCCCCATAAAACATGGAAACCCAACAAACATGGAAACCCAACTTAGATATGTTACACTGATGAAGTATGTAAACAATTATTAAATATGTAAACTGAAACCAATAGTAATTTCATTGAGAAATCATAATGCTTTTGGACTTTTCTGTTAATATGAAACGTGCGCCATTTATAGAATGAACCATACATTTGTTACCTCTAATCTATGTGCCCAATATTATTCAATTGTTGCAATCAGTGCCAAAATATATTGTTTAAATATTTGAAATAGACAAATGCCATTCTTGAACACATTATTCATATATCAGAAGAAGACATTATTGTAAATTGTGAAAATAATAATAATAAAATAGGAAATAAATAGAATGCTGATCAAATAAATTCATGAAGCATGTATCTATCCTTATTCAGATCATTCCTGAAAACCATATTTCAGTGTGATGCAATCTTGCAGAAATGATTAGACAGCTCTGTTGCTTGATGATTTATTGCACAGCAGTTGAACGGTCCTACAACAGAATTATGTTAAATGTGTTGTCTTGTTGTCTAGTCTAGAGTTGTCTAAGTGTACACCCTGCTGAATTATCACGTAAAATTCTATAAACGTGCACTGACACTAGAAGATTGCAGAGGTTACACAATGTTAATTATCAGGCAGCATATATACAGTATATATATAGATATCTGCAAGAAGATAACAGTCTATTTGTAAATCAAATGTATTGTGAAGCCATGAGACCTTTTGCTGCCAGTGTAGTTAATTTTAAACAAGAACTTTGATCTTGTTGAAGCATTTCTTTGTCTTCATTTCATCATCTTCAGAATCAGAGGTCTGAGGCACGACAGTTTTCTTTTTACGTTTCAGCACAATGAAAACGGTAGAAAACGAAAAGCTGACTCTAAGACGGGAGTTGGGGCTCCCCAGTGCTGTATCTTTGGTTGCAGGCATCATGATAGGTTCAGGAATTTTTATGTCTCCACAGTTTGTACTGGTGTACGTTGGGAGTTCAGGGGCAAGCTTGATCGTCTGGGCAGTATGTGGTATAGTATGTATGTGTACTGCTTTGTCATATGCTGAGATGGGCACCATTATCAGAGAATCAGGGGGCGACTATATCTATATCCTGCGAATTTATGGACCTTGTCCTGCATTTTTTGTGGCCTTTACAACCATGTTTCTGATGAAGCCATTTGGGATTATAGCTGGTTCTCTGAGCTTCGCTAAGTATGCTGTGGCACCATTTTACCCAGGCTGTACACCACCCATACTGGTGGTAAAGTGTATTGCTGCAGCATGTGTCTTGGTGGTTGCAACTATCAACATGCTAAATGTACGTTTTACTATGGCTACTCAGGTGGTCTTTATGGTGGCCAAATTTGTAGGTCTAATGATAATAGTTATTGGAGGAATAGCATCACTTGTACAGGGAAACTATGGAAGCCTCTGCAATCTAGAAAGTGCCTTTGCAGACACAAAGTTTGGCATTAGTACCGTTGGAATGGCACTATATCAGTGCCTGTGGTCATATTCTGGGTGGTTCAACATAAACAATGTTACTGAGGAGGTGAAAAGACCAGAGGTGAGATTAAGTTAATGTCTTCTGCAATGTCATGATTTTGACAGTATTGACATACCAGATGTAGTAATAAAAAGTTATAAAATCAAGTAAGATTATTTCATTACATGATTAAGGTGATAAATGCAGATATGTCACATAAAACTGCAACATTTTATGATTTATCACTATAATAATCTAATTTATGAAGTGATTTTGTCTTTCAGGTGAACCTGCCAAGGGCACTGATGATTGCTGTTCCCATGGTAACGATTCTATACCTACTAGTCAATGTCAGTTATCTGGTTGTTATGACAACCACGGAGATGATATCATCCAGCGCAGTAGCTGTCACATGGGGGTAAGGTTCTGAGTGCTATACAATATATAGATATTATAATTGAGTGATTTAGTGTGATGTACTCAATCCTATAAAATGCTATATTGTATTATTATTTTATATGATCTTGATATTCATGTTGGGACAAGTATTTTTGTTTTATGATGTGTACGCACTTATTTGTTTCTTGTGAAAGGAATAAAGTATTAGGAGGGTGGGGCTGGGTAATGTCCGTTGCTGCAGCAATCTCAGCCTTTGGTTCTCTGAATGGATCTTTTTTCAGTGGAGGACGAGTGTGTTACGTAGCAGCAAGAGAGGGACACATGGTAAGAACAATTGCCTTGGAAATAACTGAAAACAGTATGGGAGTAAAATCAGTAGTTTGAGTATAATGCAGAATTTGTAAATCACACTTTATATTATATTTCAATAACCACAAATATTAGGGTAGTTTCAGGAAAAGTGGGACAAAATAAGCTTTGATTATTGATAAATTGCCTTTTATTCAAGTCACCTTCATTTCTTTATTTCTTTCTTTATTTGTATATGTGCACGGAGGGCAATTGGTTTTACAGCAAGAGAGCATTAAAAACGACAATTACAATACATTAAAAATTTCCATAAAAGCTAAAAGTTACATTTAAAAAAATAATAAAATAAAAAATTCACACACAAAGTACACACACGAGACCCAACAACTACTTCCTTCCACCTACTCCCCCCATACCCGAATTTAACAGAGAAATGGAAGTAGGAATAAATGAATGTTTATACCTGTTACTTCTAACAGAGGGAAATCTCAGTCGAGATCCTGAGGGTAAAAACTGAAACTCAGAAAAAAAGAGGATGTGAAGTAACCATTAAAATGGATCGGGCTTTCCTAACTACCTGCCGGTTGTACATGTCGGTAGGGTGACTCTACGAACTCCTAAAATCTTACTGCTAGTATTTACTATTTTCACCAAAGCAGTCTTTGCCTTCACACCAAGACTTCCATACCAGCATAACATAGTAAATGTTAGAACCGACTCAATATAAGATTTGTAAAACAAAATCATCAAGGACCTATAAACTTTAAATTTGGACAGTCTCCGTAGAGTAGACAGTACAGACGTTGCTGGGCCCTTTTACAAATCGTCTCCACGTTGACATTAAAATTCAGCTTGTTGTCAATCACACACCCCAGAGACTTATATGATTCCACAACATCAACCTCCTGCTCTTTGATAGTTGTTCTCTTAAGATATGTTTGATTACGCCTAAAGTCAATAAGCATGTCTTTCGTTTTTAACACATTTATTTGCAGGAATGCATCGTTACACCACTGTACAAAATTCTCTTCCACAGGGCCATGGTCGCATTCACCAGCAACAAGAAGGCTGACAATAGCTGAATCATCTGCAAATTTTACAATAAATCTATTGTCATGCCTGCTTCTGCAATCATCAGTGTATAGAATATACAGGAGTGGAGAAAGTACACATCCCTGAGGGGACCCTGTGGATGAAGACAATACCTCTGACAAACAACCATTAACCCTTACTCTCTGAATGCGATCAGTTAGAAAGTCCAGGATCCAACCAATAATACTAAAATCAAAACCAAAACTTAAAAGCTTCTCTACTAACATGTGAGGTTGTATCGTGTTAAAAGCGGATGTGAAATCAACAAATAAAATCCTAGCATGAGTCTTAGTACCCTCTAAATGCTTAAGTACCAAATTCAACAAAGTGTCCATAGCATCCTCTACCCCACGCCTGGCCCTATAAGCAAACTGAAGAGGGTCAAGGTAATCTTCCACCTTTGTAAGAAGCTCTTTTTTAAGCAATCTTTCAAAACTCTTCATTACTAATGAGGTCAAAGCAACTGGCCTAAAATCATTTAGTGCTACTGGATGATTATTTTTTGCCACTGGAATGACTGTGGAGGTTTTCCATAATTCTTCTGTTGAGTAAGGGACAGTTGAAAAATGTAATAAAAAAATAGGTCCCAATTGCTCTGCACACGTCCCAATTGCTTGGAGTGCTATTGTCACTCAATATTATCAGGGCCTGCGCTTTTCCTGTCTTTTGAATGTTTAACCCCATTAATTACATCCTGTTCAGGAAAAGGGATAGGTCCATTAACAACTATTTTTCTGCTCACAACGAATATTCTCAAAGTCACAAGTATCGGTTTGATACTTGTGACTTTGGGAATATTCGTTGTGAGCAGAAAAATAGTTACATAAAACTCATTAAATACTTTTTTAACGAAGACAGTGGGGCTCGACAGCCTTAGTCAAATGGGTTGGCGCGTATGGTTGGGTTGCGGAGAGATTGTGAGATTAGGTCACATGTGAACTATGAGGAAGGAGCAACCTCAGCAGCAGGAGGGATGTAAAGGTCAGTAAGCTGGGCTGAGTTGAGTGGGGGACGGAGGGGGGTGACTCTGGGACGCCAGAGTCACTGTCGAGCCCTCTTGAGGTGTCGTGGGCTAGTCGACGAAACACTGAGGACGGAAGGTGCCCACTTGAAGACCCTAGAGATGTCCCCTACTCGGCTCAATCCAGACGGTTGTCGTGCTGGTCCACTGGGGAGACCGCACTGTAGTTGCAGCCGTTGTGTGTACTGACGCGCCAAGTATACTGCAGCCGTTAACGCCGGACAGAAGGAGATTCACATCACCGTATGGAAAGAAGCGTAAATGGATGGAGAGATGGAGAGAGAGAAGCATAGGTTACTGTAAAGCTACGTCTTAGTTTGTGCTTATCTTGGCGAAAGCCGAGTACAGATCATCTTTGGTTTAACATCTACTCTCGTGTAATGGAAATCATGAAGATCTGGATACGTCCAGTGACTGCGGTGAATAGTGCTGCTGGCAACAAGGGAAAGACCTTGTGACAGCCTGGAGAGACAGCTGACAGGAGGAAAGAGACCCCAATGGGGCTGGTAAGGGTTAGCTACCCTTGTCGGCAGTATCCAGCTCCGTGTTTACAGGATACTGGAGACACCCGCCCAAGGCTTCTGAGAAATTAAAGAGAAAAATACCCCTAGAGTCTGCGAGAGCGGGGGCGGAAGATGACTCAATGTTGGACAACATGGTTAACGACTTAGGAATGGAAACGGATATGAGTATGGAGAGTAAGACTAGTTCAAGATCTGCAGTTAGTAAAGTCATTGAACTCCAAGCTTGTGTCACGGGGTGACAAAAAAAACCCAAAAAAACCGGAACCTTATTTGCGGAAGTTGGGCCCGGGGAGCACTTCCGCCGTAACACAGGGCCGGTTCCAGGAAAACACGGAAGTAAGGAGAAACAATGAAGGAGAGCTGACGAGCGCGATTGTTGTCAGCTGTGCGGCGGGGAAAGATCCCGAAGGGCGATTGGACTATGAGGAACATAAAAGAGGTTGATATGAAGAGGGAAGAGTGTGGTGGGGGAGCGGGCCGAGGATGCACAGCGGAGGTCGGGAGAAGAGACAGCGAGGAAGGGGCCAGCGGTGGAAAGCACGGGGCTTAAGGAGATAAGTGACGGTCTTCTTTCACTAAACGTGATAGTAGGATTTGTCATAGTATTATTGGGTGGAAGATTCACTTCACTCTGTTTCTTGAAGAGGTTGTAATGTGACTGCGTCTGCAGACATTAATTCGGGGAAAGAAGAGGAGCGCTTCGGATGTGACATTACAGTGCAGAGATTGTTGTCAGCTGTCATAGAGAGATTCTGTTCGCCGAGGCTGCCGTCCGGGGCGCGCATGCTGATTTGATGGGTGAGGATTGTGAGTGCAGTGCTGGTCATTTTAATCACGTGTGCAGTTGAGTGTATTGCAGTGGATGCACGAGTGGGGGGAAGAAGCTGCGGCTTGTGCGGCATCTGAACGAATAGAGCCTCGACGAAATCGTATTCCTCACTTTTGTCAACCGAGCCACATCCTCGCTGCTGCATCCAGCCCTTTATCTAAGAAAGAGTGAGCATATTGCATCCATACTAACACACTCTGTTTAACAGTCTATGCTGAAGTCCCGCTGAGCCAGTGAACCGAGCCACATCCTCGCTGTTGCATCCAGCCCTGTATTTGAGAAAGAGTGAGCATATTGCATCCATACTAATCTGCTTGTTTAACAGTCTATGCTGAAGTCCCGCTGAGCCAGTGAACCGAGCCACATCCTCGCTGTTGCATCCAGCCCTGTATCTGAGAAGAAAGAGTGAGCATTTTGCATCTATACTAACCCACTCTGTTTACCAGTCTATGCTGAAGTCCCGCTGAGTCAGTGAACTGAGCCACGTCCTCGCTGCTGTATCCAGCCCTGTATCTAAGAAAGAGTGAGCATATTGCATCCATACTAATCCACTCTGTTTACCAGTCTATGCTGAAGTCCCGCGGAGCCAGTGAATCGAACTACCTCTTTGCTGTTGCATCCAGTCTCGCTGATCCAGCGACCCAAGCCTGATTCCCATGGCTGTTGTCTAGTCCGGCGTTCAGGAAGGCGGAGTGGGCATACGGGATCCATACTGAACCACCCTGTCCGCTAGACAATGCTAAAGTCTCGCTGGCCAAGCGACTCGAGTCCAATCCCCACTGCTGTCATCCAGGCCGGACTTGTCGACACAGGAGGAACGGTTGACCTGTTCTTTCTCCTTGAGATTGCCTTTTAATTAAATAAATAAATTTGAGATTCCTTTTACTCTGTTGTCCGTTGTCCTTGAGCTGCGGGGTAGCTCCTCAGGGGAAGGGGGAGGTACGGAAGGAGGAGGGAGGGTCGGTTGGCAAGTAGCGCCCCCACACCCTCCGGCCTGTGACACTTGTGTCTGTGGCTGAAGCAAGGCGACAATGGTCAGGGGTTTGAAGATTCATCAAGGGAAAATGAAATGCTTGAGGGAGAAGGGACAAGGGCCTCGCATTGATCAGTACTTCTTACGAAGTCAGTCAAGTCAGTCGAATGAAATCCAGTGACCGGAAGCAAACCACAGCTCGCAGGATATCAGCACCCCTGTCATAGAGGAGAGGAGGGTTTGCACAGTTGGAGATTAACATATTGATACTTGTGAACCCGGTCAGACTAACCAGCATAAGAGAGAAAAGAACCTCAACGGGCATAGGCCTGGAGTTATATGGCCAAGAGCTTGTGAGAAAACTGCATGGGACACGGTAAACACAGATCTATGCTTCGCATTGGAAAGATTAACTGGTACAGTTGAAAAGAAGCTGGATAAATTTGGGGACATCATTTACGCATATGGAAGTGAGAGGTTTGGTGTGGAAAAAAGGAAGGAAAAAGTACAAACTACTCCTGGAATGTCTAGATGGCAGCAGAAAATTGAAGGCTTAGTTAGAGAAAGGAGACAGCT